TAATTTCCAATTTCTTTAAACTGGGAGATCAAAGAGCCAGAAAGCATGCAGATTTCTAAATGCATAGCCCTGGAAGATACCGCAGGTAAGACTTAAGAGAAAAACACCTGTAATGTTGTAGCGATTGCCAGTTTTAGATTGGAACATAAAAATGGTTACAATTTATTTATAGCATTGAGAAAAATGCATGGTTTCATTTTCTGCAAGTAAATAATAAAGAATTGTCCTCAAAACTGCTGGTCAAGACTCATTCACTTAGGGAAGACAGGATCTAAGGATGGCTCGTTGGGTTAAACACTGTACATTCATGCTAATTCCTGCTAATTGTCAAAGAAGAATAGAGAGACTTCTTATCAGCAATTTGCATTTGCGGAATGGCTCTGGTCTGTGGCTGCTGTCTGCTTCGCCGATAAGGGCAGGAAGCCATCCTTCCCAGCAGTTTTTAGCTTGCCTTGAGCAGCAAAAGCCTGGCAATTTACAGGACGTGTTGTTTGATTGCGTTGGAAAATATTTAGTAATAGAACAGAGAACACTGAAGTCACTCCTCAGATTTTCAGTCTATGTATTTTTTCAAGTGTGCAGTAGAATATTATTTCTACAGTGTTAAGTTACACTGTGGATGTCGCAGTATTTTTCAGTATTTTATTGTTTTTAAAATGTTAAAATGACACAATATTGTAAGTGAACTTAATTCCTATAACTTGTAAGTTCTGTCAGAAAGATTTAAGAATTGTGTGGATCATATATTTAAGATGTTACGTTGCTGTTTTTCTTTTAATAGGAATTGTCCTTCATTTTATTTTATAGACAATTTCAGTGGTTATAAATTATTGACAAGTGGTTGTGATAAAGTTAAAATAGAGTAGATTTGTGATACTGCTTCACAGTCATGCAGAGGTTACTCTTTCAAATTAGACCATCTCTTTCCATATTTCATGGAATAATAATTTACTAAGAAACAACATTTGAGGTTTGATTATATAGGATTCCAAAGCCTGCACGGAAATGTTTTAGCTTCTGTTTGTTTCGTATTTATACCATTAATAATAATAACAGTACTATATATTTGTGCACAGTGTTGCTGCTGAAAAAGTGTCTTATCATACTTCACCACCTCCCTGAGATGTCTCACTTTTACAGCTGAGGTTACTGAGGCAGGTTAGCTGGACAGGAGCCACGAAAACAGTGGTCGGTAAAACAGAGGCTCGGGCTTGATTCTTCCCAGCTAACTCCAGTGTACATTTACGACATTTTATCTATAAAGGACTCCTTTTAGGGAGAAGTGTTCAGTTTTTCCATTTCTAACCCCTGTAACTCTAGTTGTTATCATCATGCCTTACATATAATAGGCAATTATTAAAGAATTGTGGCAGGAAGGAAAGAAGGGAGGCTAAAGAAGGAGGGAGTTCGTATTGTGTGGTGCAGGATTTGGGGAGTCTGGAAATGGTGATCTTAGTCCCCAAAGCCATAGTCCTGACCTAAGTTCCCAAGAGAGACCAAGTCAAGAGTGGACCCCAAAGCGCATTCTCTGGTAACGAGTTACTGCTTTATTTACACTGTCTTCCTTGTAATATAGTTACAAACAACTCGGGAAACCGTGTTCATACAAATGGCAAACGTAAATGGAATGACGTCACATTTTGCAGAACTCCTAATTGCTAATCGTGGACCACTTACTAGAAGATGATAGACTTCCAAATTAGGACAAACTACTCACACAGCAGAGGGAGGGAGGGTTTATTCAGTACTAAAAGAGTGAGGTCTACTTCACATACTTCCAGGGACAGTTCCGAGGGTCATCTTTTCTATATTGACACACATTCTGTTTGCAAAACCTTTAGCCTCACCTCTAATAAACTCCTCCCAAAGTTCCCAGAAAGAATGGTGCTTCCACAGTTTGGTGTAAGAGGCTGCTTCGTTTCATGAATTTGGTTCATGAATTTTTGGCAGAATCTCCAAATGGACAGACTTCACAGTATAGCATGTGTAAGCCAAAGAGGAAAGATATCTCTGCAAAATTGATAGATCTGCTCAGGACTGGGTGTCCACTGAGTTCAACTTAGAGGAATAAAAGAAACCTGGCAAAAAATTGAAGGGGGGCACGTATCAGCCTCTCCGTCCAGGTTCTTCTGACGATTACAACTTACCCCTGTGTCTGTTGGTTCGGAACAGCTGTACCCAGTCTGTTCACCCTTTGCATCATCGGGGAGTCCTCTGCTGCTTTACGATTCCATGAGCATCTCGTTCTTACTGCTGTTAACAGATGAAAGAGCAAGTACCATAGAGTCCATGACCCTGCGAGATAGTTGCTAGTTCATTGTCTCCGAGACTTATTATCAAATAACCCATTGCTAGGTTTGAGTAATGATCTGAGAATTGTTCAAATGGATTGTCCTAACTTGGAGCTACAGGATAACATTAAAAGGATAATCATTTTAGGTGAAATAATCATTTTAGGTGAAATGATCATTTTAGTCCTTGTTTAAAGGACTAAAAAATAGTCATTGTTTCTAGTATTAACACGCGTGTATTAATCTTGCTAATGTAGTAGCACAGGATCAGAAAGTTCAAGAAATAGGTATGATGCTTCTGTCTCTTATATCACTGCTGATTTTTATTGTTGGTTTACAACTTCTATGGAGTGTCTCCTTTGGGGGGAATGTTGGTTTTGTTATTTTAGCAAAGCCTCAGGATTTCATCTGAACGAGCAGATGCAGTGTTTGCGTGCAGCGTGGGTGAGGGGTGGTCCGTAGCAGCCTGCCAGGGATGCAGAGACCACTGGAGTCCACTTGCAGCTCAGAGTTCCTCTGCAGGGACGTGCATGGTGACAGCACACTGCAGGTGGTCCATTCTGCACTGTCTCCTGGAACAGCAAGGATAGCCTGCCCAATTTGTCATCCCGCAGAACCCTGTCAGCCGTTGAAAGTCTTAAGTGCAAAGGCTTTAACATCGAAGGCAAACTTCCTCCTAATACTTTTTAAAAGCAGTTGCCATGAAAGAAAATATTAACACACAGCACCTCAGTAAACAGTTTCTCACATGCAAATATAATATTATGTTAAATTATATGTTATGTGATGTATAGAAATGTTGTCTGTGATTTCACAGACCAAACGTTGCTAATTACATCCCCTACTTCCTGAGAAGGATGGTCAAGAATAGCTGACAGTGGAGGGAAAATGACCTTCTCCTTGCTCTCCCTGGTAACTTGTTTGGTTTGTAGACCTGTGCAGGACACCTTGCGGTGCATTTTGAAAAAAAAAACAACTTTTTGTTTCAAGAAGAATAAAAAAAATTGAACCATTTCTTAATTCTCCATAGTGATAACTCCAAGATAGCACGCATCTTTGAAATCCCCAAATTTCCATCATCAAGCTTTTATTTGATTAAGAACTACCCTCCCTACTTGTCCAGTAATAATGCCTGCTGTTGTTCACTGAGTGCCAGTTTCTTTACCTAGATTATTTACACTCTACAAAAAGTTGGTAAGCGTGCCATTACCCGTTTTCTACGTGGGAAAATGGAGCCTCTGGGTGGTTACATGGCTTGCGCAAGGATGCAAAGCTGGTAGGAGATGGGATTTGAGCCAGATCTGTCTCCAAAGTACAAGTCAGCTGCCCTTTGCTGTGACTCCCGAAAGCCATGCTGAGAACAGTGAGATGGTCCAAAAACTTGCCTAATTTTAACATAGGAGAATAAGAGGCAGGAGAGGTCTTGAGTGATTCAGAAACTAAATAATCAGATGTTGAGTAGTTCCATCAAGTAGAGCAAAAATCAAGCAGAGTTAGGAGAAGCCGGGTTAGATTTGTGAAGGAAATAAAAAAGAAAGGCAGAAGGAAATGGAAAAATAATACATGACAGGTTAAATAAGAGTAAGCAGCCATCTGAATATCATAGGCAAGTAACAAAATCAAGATAAGGAAGAAAAGGATTAAAAATCACAAAGAATGATCAGTAGACAAGAAAAAAAATTGTCCATAAACAGATTTTTCCTTTCCAGAAGAGTAAATGAAATCTTCATTGGCATATTGGTTCTGGTTTTTGTCCTATCATGTGGATGATAAACGTTATGTGAACTAAACTGCCTGTGGTTGGGACTGAGCATGACCTTTGGTGTTCCCAGGGATGTGAGGAGACACTGTGACACTGAAGGCCCGGAGAGTCTCAGGACTGAGAGCTTTGGCCTCATTGAATCCATTCATCTGATGGTGAAGGCATCATTTTCAGATAATTATGAAGTCTGATAAGTGAATACCAAGCGTATTACATGAAGATATTACAAACCAAAATTAAAACTAATTTCTACTCACGATTCAAAATAGGTGACTTTTGTAGGGCTTACTCTACATTTTTAGCAATATTAGACCGTCTTTTCATATTCTCAAAAGTTTGATGGCAATTGGACATTTCAAAAATGTTCTTCTGAGTAGAAATTAGAATAGAGTAGAAAATTTGAAAGAATGGCTCCCGATCTATAATGATAATATATATAGTCAGTTAATATATAAATTTTTATTAAGAACAAATAAGCCACCTTATATTTTCTTATATATATTGTGTCTATAAATATGGTCAATATACATATAAAACATAATTCCCAAAATAAATAATTTTATCAGTTGCCATTAAAAAATTGATATGTAAATTGAGTTGCACTGACATGACTTTATATAATTATCCTTGAGCTTTCCTGGAAAATGCATTTTACTTAATGACACTAGATCTTCCCTTTTTCAACTTTCTTAGCAGATAAAATATTGGTTGTAAAAAACGGTGAGCCCCTCTTGTAATTAAATTAATTAACTATAGCTGCCCTTTTGTAATCGTACTCTGTTTAACTATACCCAGAAATTACTTAACGTCTTTGCTGTTGTTTATTGAGCCTGGAAGGTTAGTGGAGTCTGTCGTACCTTCTACGATCTCTTCCCTTCAGAGGACTGAAGATGAAAGGCTGCCGGGAGGGGAAGCTGGCTAACCCTTTCCCCTTTATCTCCCTGCAGCGACTTCCACGTCCACCACCGGGACAAGCCATCTTGTCAAATGTGCAGAGAAGGAGAAGACGTTCTGTGTGAATGGAGGCGAGTGCTTCATGGTGAAGGACCTTTCAAACCCCTCAAGATACTTGTGCAAGTAAGGAAAGAACTCTGTGTGCTTCTGTCCATAACATAACATGCTTTCGGACGCTTCTGTCTCATGATGTGGTGTCGCTTCCTTTCCTGATTTCTTTGCATCCTGTTCGATAACGTGTTTTATTTGTAGAGTGTTTTGAAAAGTTTACCCCATTTGTCATCTGTTATATTCAGAGTTGTTTTCTTGATTTTTATGATGATTTTTTCCTTTTTTGACTTCATGTTTGTCAAGTTGCTTTCTTCATGGTTTTTGTCACTGTTACCTAGAAGAGATGTGCAAATATCATAGAGGCCTATAAATAATGATAACCTACTTCTGCATCCAATGTGTGAATTAAGCTGTAAGATAATGTTCCTTTTTACCCCAGGGATCACCTGCAAAATGAATATGATAACTAAAACATACAGAAGTACAGAAGATTCTTTGCAGACACGGCCATTACACTTGATAGTAACTTACTGTTTCGTAACTGTTTTTAAAAATGGAATTTAGGTTGATCTCACTAATTATTAAAAAACACAACAGATTGCATGTGTTTGGAAATGGATTTAGTGTGTATAGCATCATTGTGTAGAAGGCAGAGTGTACTTTCACGCTCTGCAGTTCTTTATAGACTGGTACTCTATCCTGTGACCTGATAAAACGATAATATTATCAGTACATTAAATATTTACACCTTGTAGTTAAAATTAGTAGGTCTCATTAAAAAATATGTGTTTATTGTGCCATGCATTTTAATTCTACCCTTGATATTTAGGCTACATGTGGTACAGGGATGTTGACTGTCTCCCTGGAGGGATGAAACACACGTGTATTTTGCAGTTAACCAATAGCTGAGTCCCACTATTCTGAAGAAGCCCTGCTTGCCCTACATGAAGAGATAACATGCCTTCCTAAAAACTGACTTCTGCTTCGGGATATATTAGCTTATTACTTAAATGTTGACAAAGAAGAGCAAGTTTGTCAGAGAGCTAATAGAGTAATTAGCAACATGTTAAAAAAAAAAGCACAAGAAAGTATTAAGAAGGCCAACTCCATACATCATGTAACTAGTGTACAAATATTTATGTGTCAGCTCTAAAAAACTTTCACTGTTTGTAAGTAATCAAGTACATCTTAAGAGACACATGTTGTACAACCATAGCACCAAACAAAAATGGCATTTTGTAAGAAATATTTCCCTGTTCTGTTCTGTTCTGGACTTGGGCTGTCTGTACAGGGTTTCAGGGAACCCCCCGAACAAGTCCCTCTCAGAACTGCTCTTCGCCCCCAAAAGCTTTGCTTTTGAAAGAGTAAAAACAGTTTCAAGAGAAGATGAGTTTTGTTGGTTGTATAACTGATTTTATCAATCAGACGTCTTATAAAAGTCAACCTAGTCTGTTGGAGTGAATGAAAGACTAGGAATCACAAGAGGGCTTCAATTACTAAATATCTCTTTGCTAGAGATAGGTAATAGTTATAGGCCAAAATGAAAGGTATCGGTAAAAGTCTTTTAAAAAATGTAAAGCAAGATAAAAATGAAAGAGAATGTAGAAAACAATTATGTCTTTTATTAGGTTCGAATTGTTTTACATGACTATCAGCATTTGTTGTTTTAAAATGAATCTTAGCCATGCCAGTGTGGCTCCATGTCGTCATGGACTGAGAGGTCCTGGCTCTATTCCTGGTCAAGGCACATGCCCAGGTTGTGGGCTCCAACCCAGTAGGGGACATGCAGGAGGCAGCCAGTTGATGTTTCTAGCTCTCTCCCTAAAAAAAAGAAAAAATCAATAAAAAAACATATTTTTAAAAATAAATAAATAAAAATAAAATTAATCTTAAAGTTTCACTTTCTCATCAACATTATATTCAGAGCAAAGAATTAAAGTAGGTCAGTTTTGGTCTGGTTCTAACGACTTGTTATAAAGACAACACAAACAGAGCACCCTGTGTTTATCATAGTGAATCAGGATGAACAAACTTTGTCATTTTCCATAAGTTTTCTCAGATAAAATTAGAAAATACCAGAAGCTGAGAACAATAATCTTTAAAATATGAGATTTATTTATTATACGGGGAAATTTTGTTATTCTGTCCTGTTCTCAGGCATACAATCCAATTATGTTTTAATAAATCTCGTTGAAAAACATTTAAATGCTAGTTCCTTAAATTCTTCTCTTTTTTAAACAAAGTACCCATATTATCTATATCTCATATTTTTACTTCTCTAGAAAAACATCGGAGACCACTATATTTTAATTATAATAATGAAACACGATCATTTTCATCAGAGCCTTTGCAAAGATTTACAAGCTGAGTGAGTACATGTGATAGTTTCCAAAGACCTCTAAGGATCCAGTGCAGCTATTTTCCACATATTAATTTCAGCGTTTCTGTAGCCCTCCCACATCCATACAAAACATGCAGTCGCAGAAGTGTTCATTTGTTCCATTTTGGTATTGTGCCAACAACTGCAATATTTTTTTTTTACCTGCAGAGTTTTTCATTAAATTTTAAGCACAATCCAGGAAAAAACAAAAACAAAAAAAACCCACTTGATACATTTAAAAAAATCTTATGGTGAAATAAATGTTTGTTATTTCTCTAATAAATATTAAAGCAAAAAACCATGAATGATCACTCCTCAACCCTCAAGCAGATTGTCTAATGGGTTATGTTGTCGACTAGTCCTCTGCAAATTGACATCTTAATTTCATTTTTATTTTTTGTGATTGGAGTCTTTCAGGAAAGTGTTAAAGCTTAGTACCGGATCTTGTTGGGAAGAAACTCTTTGAAACTTATGATTTGGATAAACAGCCCATCCCACTTTTATACCATGTCTTTACGGAGGCATCAAAGCAAGCCCGTACCTTAAGCAAAGTATTGGAATATAGTTAACACCCAAAATATTTCAGGCTCTTTTTGGTTACATAAAAGTGTGCTTTTAAAAGTAATCCCTGGACTGACAATCCCCAGAAGAGGGGGTGTTGAGGGGGAGAGATAAACCACAGAATTTATATGCATATACGCATGACCAATGGACATGGACAACAAAGCTGGGGACAGGGTGGGGAGGGAGGAGCCGGAGGGTGTCAGTGGGGGGAAAAGAAGAAACATCTGTAACAAAAATACATAAAAGTAATCCCTGTATTTAAAGCATTTGTATCATTAAAAATGCTATAATTGAAACAAAGGCACATAAGATACCATGTCTAAGGATAATGTATTGTTCACTAGACCACTTGACTAGAAGCAGAAAACATGAAAATCTTGCTTTGGCTCATCACAGTCCTGTACGTGAAGCCAGTTCATAGTTTCCATATGGGCCATCTGTCTAGAGCAAAACATTGCTGAAGCATGAGCTACATCATTCGAAATCAGCTTTATCCCTAACTAAAGACATGACTCAGAAACACCACAGGCATGGAAGTTTCCAAGTAGTCTCTCTGGTCGCCTAATCCACTGTTGTCTTCTTGGGAGTTGAAGCTGAAGACTTTACAGCAAATCTCTTTTGTCTCTCCAGTTAGCACAGGGGTTCCCCGATGGATTAACCATAAAACAGTTCAACACCCCTCCTAGGAGAGGTTTGCTGGTTATGTGGACTTCCCCTGGGGACTGTGTGGGAATTTCAGCAGTAGTTCTCATCTTTTATATTTCTCTTCCCTCTATAGTAATTTAAAATTTATCCTGAGGAAAAAAATAGTTACTATTCCAGGTTATATGAAGACGAGAAAAGAAACATTTCATCTTTCACCCTCTAATACAGTCATATGGTTCAAAGGAATAAGACAGTTTGAACATGACATTGTCCAAAGTTTCCTTAGCTCTCTCTCCTCATTCTTGCCTGTCTGTTCTTCTGGACAGTTTTAGTAGAGAACTGTTTTGGAATATGTTGATGTGATTTTTTTCAATCCCAAAATGATTTTATACCAGACCACCTTTATAAACCCATTGTGTTGTCTCTTGGACAGATGTGGCTTCCCCACGAGGGGCGTAGAGTTTTTACCACCAGTGTTGGTGGAAGAGTCGTGAGCCATTTTACTTCTGCTCTCCGGACAGTATCTTAAGTTATAACATGGAGTTAATGTGTTCTCCAAATTTCTTCCCAGGAAGTTAGTGAGATTAAATGGATTAATTTCTGCTCACATACTTCTAACTCTGGCAAAGCAAGATTTCTTTCTTATAATAAAAAGTAAATGGTAGCATTCTATTCTCTCTGTAGACTTTGGGAAAATATATACACCTGTCTTAACAGACTGCGTTATCATGTTTAATCCCCGATTTCTCATCTTATGTAACACTAGCAGCTTTTATTTGGTTCGGTGGGGCCAACAGCTAGCTTTATAACTTTACATTGGACAGATCAGGTAATAGCTCGGATCATTATATTCCTTTTATACAAAAAATAAAAAAAAATCCTGGGAAGATGGAAGCTGCCCTCAAACATGAACTTATGATTTTTTTTACAATTTGCTTTTATGAAACTATGTAGTATGTATAAGAGCCTATGTTGTATTATTTTAAGAGACAATTATGAAAAATATATAACTGCAGATTAGGCCACAGCAAGTGTTATAATAAATTAAACTCAACAAATGACATATGAATTACATTTTTTTCTAGAACAGCTACATCCATGCCAGGCATTTTTGAAAATCCAAAGCCTGGTTTCTGTCCCTGAGAACTTAGTCTGTTTAAGAAAATTAAGTAGCTGAATAGTGAATCAATTAGAGTAAATATATCCCAAGTGGCACAATACTGATTATTATGGTACTGAGAATTTAAAGAAGGAAAAGAAGACATTGGAATCAGTTGAAGAAGGCTTTATAAACGTAGCCATTATTTATGGAGTTTTTATGTAGCAGGTAGGCACTGAGGTTACAGTAATGGTTTCTGTGAGACACAGTGACATGCGTATGTAAACCAGCTGCTCCATTCTGAGAAGTAAAACAAACAGAAAGCTCAGGTAGACATTGAGCCGGTTTATGAGCTCTGGAGGCCAGGCAGAGGGTTTTGGACAC